AAAAAAAAAAAAAAAAAAAAAAAGAATAGCAACCACTTCCATTGAACCAGACATAGATGCATTATTTTCATAAAAACAAGGTCAAATAAAACTCCTCTAGCTTTATGTTTATATTTCACTTTTCTGTAATGTTATAATAAAAATACTTTAATAAATGTTCTTTATACAGTAACTACTGTATATTATATATTATATAGAGCCCAAGACAATTCCTCTTCACTCAGTGAGGGCCAGGCAAGTGAAAAGGTTGAACATCTGTGCCCTCAGGGGACAAGTTTTGCTGAATGACTAATACATCAAGAAGATTGGGGATTCCCAGAAGTATTTGGAGGAGTAAGGAAGAGGTGGGAGGAGCAGGGCCAGGGAGAAGTATGCAAGATGGTGTAAGACTGATGATTCGTTCCCAGGAAGACCTGAACCACAAATTTCCTTGTAGGGGAGGGGAGAGGGTGAAGGGTGTTCTAAGATCCAGGATGGGTCAAACTTGTTTGAAGTTTTTATATCTCACTAACGGGATGAACTCCTTTGTCCTACCCCACTTCAGGTTTCTGAAACATTTACTACAATGATGTCTGAGTATTATGAATAACGTTTCTGGCAGAAATAACATTTTCCATTTGTGTCAAAACAGGATAAAATTGAGAGCACAGCCCAGAAGCTAAGAGCCATCACAAGAACAGAAGTTGCCCAGAACTTCCAGAAATCTGAGCAAGTGTTGGAGCCTGGTTCCTCAGCAGATACCTGTGTTATGGCTTCCTAGTAATAGAGCCGTTCTGTTCTTAGACCTGGGAATGAAATCACACTGATTCCAAAGCTCTGTACCTGCTCCAGCTAGATCAGAATTCTGATTTTGTTCTAGAATCACCAGAGTCAAGAGAAACCCTGACTTGAAGATTTTAAGGGCTAGAGAGGAGCCTTGTCCTGGTGTCTTAGGGCCAGGCCGAACAAGCCTGACTGCTAATATGGAATATTTGACCTCTGTAGGATCAGAAGTGTTGTAGTGCCCATGTGGTTGATGGGACATAAGCGTTTATAATGCAACAACTAAGTAGAGGATGCAAGAAATGGCACTGCTGCTAAGCAACTTGGCTCATTAACTCTATGGCTCTGGTCAAGGTTCTACCCTGCACAAACTAGCCTTCCACCTTCCCTGACACCTGGGACGGTTGATTTTGACTGTCAACTTGATTGGCTTGAGAGCACCTATGGCATTAGTAAAGTACCCTTTTGGGTGTGTCACAGGGTCTTATCTTGGGGAGAGTATCTGCTCCCTGCCCACTTCACCTCCTGCTCTCTTCCTGTTTCCCAACTGCCAGGAGTTGAGCGGCTTTCCTCTGCCACTCCACTGAAACCCATGAAACTGAACCAAATAAACCCTTTCTCCTTTAACTTGCACATATCAGATATTTTGTCCCAGCAGTGAAGTGACTAACACTCCCTCCAACCTTACAACTCCTAACACCCTCCCCTTACAACCTTAAGCAGTCTTGGAGTAGTGGCCAAGAGCTTAAATTTCGTGTTAATTCATTTCTCATCCACCATAGCCCTCCCAGATCATTTAAACGTCTTTCTCACTTACATTTTGAATATCCACTTTGGTGGGGAAGTTAGTCCGCATTTTACACCCTTCTGCCCCTCCCTCCCAGGGCCACCCTCTGCCTACGGAGGACGTCCGCTGGTCGGTCCGACCGCGGTTTAAGAGGGAGTCAGGTCTCTGGTCGGCTTGGCAACGACCCAACAGCCTCCTCAGGTCCTCTGCGCAGGGAAAGCCGCGGAGGGAGGCTGAGAGGAAGAACCACACTGCAGGAAAAGGCTCTGCAGAGGTAACAGCTGGGACCACGGCCAGCGCAGGGGGCGGGCGCGTTCGGAGCTAAAGGGAGGACTGCGCCTAGCCCTGTCGGCCGAAGCTCCAGCCCTCCGACTCGTGCCTCAGTTATCTTCCCAGGTCCCCAGCGCGGCTCCAGAAGTGACAGCCACGTAGATCCCCACGCACGCGAGGCGGGGGACGGAATGTTGGAGAGGGGCGGGGCTGGCGGGGCGCC